CCCTGTAGGAAGTTGGTCACCCTGAGATGATGGGTGTGCAACCTAAGTAGGTAAGGACCCCAAACAACAAAGGGACCTGGGGATGATCTCCAAGAGACTGGGGTTCTGTTTAGGGTCCTGCTTTACTCTGGATTTCCCATATAGAGGTTCTGAGCCCTATATAGAGCACATGTCTTCGTAGACTTATCTCATGGTAAAGTTAAAACTGACTTTGTGCAACTAGATTGCTGGTGCTGGAGAAGGAGATTTTAGAAGACCAGACTGAGCAATAGCTGAGGAGGAGGAGCTGACTTTGTGAAACCAGACTGGTTAGCCACCAGTCAGACCAGTACCTGGTGGTGCAGGCTTTGATGGACTAGAGCTGCCCCCAACACCCCACTTGACCACCACTGCTACCTGGCAGATCGGTTACAAAAGGCATTTAGAACCAATGCAGGGATACAACTTTTATAGCTTAATATCAACATTATAAGCATTCAATATCATATAATTCTAAAATATTAGGGTTGGGAGGGACCTCAGGAGGTCATCTAGTCCAACCCCTTGCTCAAAGCAGGACCAATCCCCAACTAAATCATCCCAGCCAGGGCTTTTTCAAGCCTGACCTTAAAAACCCTGAAGGAAGGAGATTCCACCACCTCCCTAGGTAACGCATTCCAGTGCTTCGCCACCCTCCTAGTCAAAAAGTTTTTCCTAATATCCAACCTAATCTTCCATATTACATTTAGGCAGAGCTGTGTGAGATTCAGAATTTCCATCCTGTGGGAAAATTTTAACCTTTGTTTTCCTCCCAGAATAGGATAAAACACCTAAATTTCAAAATTTTCTACAGAATGGAAAGTCCAAAAAGTTTGTTTGGAAATAGCTAAACAAAACTTTCAACATTTTCAATCAAAATTAAACATTCCAACACTCCTGAAATCCAAATAATCAGTTTTGATTTGCTGACACGACCCAAAATGCCTTGTTTTGAGTAATTTCTACATTAAATTGCATTTTCTTATGGCGGTGCATTGTGAGTTGTAGTTCAAAAGCCTGGTACACCCATTTTACCCTATCAACCAGGCTCCCTGGCTGGACTACATCTCCCATAATGCTTTGATTCACATGACTCCCATGATGCATCCCACTGTTTGGTCTATATGAAATCACAGAACTACAACTTCCATCAGGCAATATACCACCAGGATAGGAAAATACAGTTTTTAATATTCTGTTGAACTGATTCTAAATTAAATTATCTGAAATATAATAGTTCATTTTAATGTTCCTAATGGAAAAATCATAACTTTTTGGCAAAAATCAAAATTTTACCTCCAAAAATTTCAATTTTGTGGAAACTACATTTTCTATTTGGAAATTTTCCATCTGAATGATTTTTTAACCAGCTCTAGCTTTAAGGTGGTCATCTCAGCCTATAAAACCTTGCATACTCTGTTTAAAAACTACCACATCTTTCCAATTTATAAATCTACTTATATCTTCACAGAGATCATCACTATGTAGATATGCTATACTGGATGACTATTAGCACCTGCTTTAGAATTTCACACCCTTAAATATCAGGACACTTCAATCTGAAATGAGAATGAAAGGTTCTTTTCTATTCCCTTACTTAGCATGAGTCGCTAGTCTGTAATGAATTATGGATCATTTGCTAAACATCTTGAGATGTGTTTGCATGAGAACACACCATAGAAATTGAAGTGATGGGGCCAAATTCTGCACTGCACTTACCATCCATTGATGACTTACTAAGGAAAAGCCCGAATGACCGCATGTAAATGAGCACAGAACAGAGCCCAAACTATTCTCAGTGGAATATGAGACAGAATGTGTATGCAATGTGAACTTTAATCTAGTTCTATATGGGAACAGATGCATAATGATAGCATATAAATGTTATGTTTTTTAAAAGGTCACTTTCATTAATACTGAAATGAACTGCATATAAAACTTCATATTCTTGAAGGAGTTCACAATAGTTTTCCTAAAGGTGTTAGCAAAAAGAAAAGGAGGACTTGTGGCACCTTAGAGACTAACAAATTTATTTGAGCATAAGCTTTTGTGAGCTACAGCGAGCTCATGAAAGCTTATGCTCAAATAAATTTGTCTCTAAGGTGCCACAAGTCCTCCTTTTCTTTTTGAGAATACAGACTAACACGGCTGCTACTCTGAAACCTAATGGTGTTAGTCACACTTTAAAGATTTGGATGCTGATAAATGAAACTTTTTACTTGTCTTCTCAAATTTCTGCAAGTAGGGAATGCACCTAGGTGTCCCCCAAAGCTGGGGAACAAAACATAAGATATAGAATTTCATTCTGTCACTCATTCTCTTTGGTGCTGTAATTCACTGCTGGAAAACTAGCATCTGTCTTTTGGGCATTTATTTTTCATACTAAAAGCTGTAAGTCCTATTTATAATAAAACTTCTAAAAGCATCACAGAAGGAACATAAAGGATAAGAATGGCAGTGCCATTCAAAACCCCTGTTGCAGTTGCTTATATTAAGGGACAGTAGAAATCCTGGACATGGAAATTGTATAAAATCCAGGAATTTAGATTCTGGAGAGAGAGGAATATCCATCTTCTATGGGAAGATGCTAAACTTTCATTTTAAAAACTTGGGGCCAGTTCCTCAGCTGTTGTGAATTGGCATAACTGCTTAGAGCTGTACTGACTTGAGCCAGCAGAGGCTCTGGCCCTAGAATTTTAGCTAGTTTGAAGATAACCTTCACAATATAGATCTAGACTTGCCCTTGTGTTGCTAGGAGCCACATCCATTGAAATAACTGCACTGGAGGCCTGATCCTGCAAGCTGTATGTGTACAGATCTCTCACTGAATTCCATGGGTGAAGCACTTACAGGATCAGGCCATAAAAGGATTGAGAAGTGCCCCTTTTTAATTAGTGTTAACTCTGATGCCAAATTATGACACTTTAAATGTTAATTTTGTTAAACATTTAATTGATTATCAAGGAAAATTAAAAAGGAATAAGGCTGCAAGTTTAAATATGCCAAAAGCTTTCAGGTGTTTCTTTATTTTTTTGGGGTATTCAATTGAGGACATGCTCCCGCCCTCCCCTCCCGGCCGCCATCTTTACTGGAAACAGTCTATCAAAATACATGAAGGCAGACTTAAAGGTTGCTAAGGGAACCCCAACTTTTGTGACATTAAAACCTCAATCATATCATTTATGTGGCACCAACTGTGTTCCAAGCACTTTTCAGAACAAGTTATAAACATAGTCCTTGGCCCAAGGAGTTTACAATCTATGGGGCTAAGGCAGCCACTAATGCAGCACTCGCAGATTCCATCCCTGCAATGGAGCTGTCATATGGAAAAGAACACAGAGCTCCACTGAGTTGAAGATCCTTCCCCAGGGAAATCAAAGATGGGGGCTCTTTCATTGACTCCCATCTCTCACTCTGAGGTGGTAACTTGTTTCTTTAAAATTGTGTGATCCACTCCCCAATCTCACTCCAGAGGCAACTGTGTGGCGGTTACTGCAGACCTATGGTTCTAGGCCACAGAGTGCTGCAGTGAGGGGAGAAAAGGGTCTGGAAGTTGTGGACAGCTGCATGACTTCCCCATCTTCTCAATTAGCTTCACACCTTGCTCCTCAGTATGGACACAATGCTGCATCCTTCACCCTGAACTGATTGTCCTTGGCATCTGTCAGCCTAGTGTGGAGCTGTATTAAATGGTGGTAAGAAACAGAGCTGTGCGAATAACTGAGTGTTTTGGTTTGCTGCCTGTAGGGGTGCCAGGTGTCCAGTTTTCGACTGTATACCCGGTCAAAAAGGGACCCTGGCGGCTCTGGTCAGCAGTGCTGACCAGGCCATTAAAAGTCTGGTTAGCAGCACAGCAGGGCTAAGGCAGGCTCCCTGCCTGCCCTGGTTCTGCGCAGCTCCCGGAAGCTGCTGGCATGTCCCTGCAGCCCCTAGGTGCAGGGGCGGCCCGGGAGGCTCCGTGCACTGTCTCCACCTCAAGCACTGGCTCCGCAGCTCCCATTGGTCAGAAACCCTGGCCAATGAGAGCTACGGGGGCAGCACGCAGAGCCACCTGGCTGCTCCTCCGCCTAGGGGCCCAGGGACATGCCAGCTGCTTTCGGGAGCTGCCTGAGGTAAGCGCTGCCCAGAGCCTACACCCCCATACACGCACCCTAGCCCAGAGTCCCCTCCTGCACCCTGAACCCCTCACTTCTGGCCCCACCCTGGAGTGCACACCCCCAGCTGGAGCCTTGACCCCCCCCCATACCCCTGCCCCAGCCCAGTGAAAGTGTGTGAGGGTGGGGGAGAGTGAGGGATGGAGGGATGGCGGATGGAGTGAGCGGGGATGGGGCCGTGGAGTAGGGGCAGGCTCTTGGGGAAGGGGGCAGGGCAAAGGTGTTCAGTTCTCTGCAATCAGAAAGTTGACAACCTTCGCTGCCTATACCGGGGAAAGTAGGGGGAGTAAAAAATTAATTTAGGTCAAACAATGTTTTATTTGACCTGAAACGAATCTTTTTGTTTGAGCTTTTTAAAATGTTTTCATTTAGAAATTTACTTCAGTTTTATTAAAAAGTCCTATTGAATTGAAAAATAGAAATGTTCTGATTTTTCTCCAATTTTGGTTTTTTTTGTTTTTAACCAAAACAATTTGTGGAAACTGACGCAAATACATGAAATGTTTCAGCTGATCTGAATTTTTTTATTGCAAAACATTTCCGCCAAAAAATTTTGCTCCTCTCTAGTAAGGCACTCCCATACCTCTTATTGTCATGTAAACAGGGGAGAGAATTTGACCTTAATGAATGTGATTTCCTCTGCTTTTTGAGATACTGTCAGTTTGCAATATTGTTTCTACCTCTTGCCATCCAAGAAATATTTTACAGTAGATTTATACTTGCGTATGTGAAATCAAAGAATGAGGCAAACAGTGGTTCCAACAGATAATTATTTTCAACACTTTAAAACGTAACGAATTCAAGAATACAGAGTACTGTACAGTCTACATGAGGGGCCAGGATGACCGAAAAAACTGTAGCCCAACAGTTAAGAACGAAGCCAGCATGCTACAGATTACAAGGAAACTGAAGTGTCTGAGTGAGTAATATACAGCCTGATCCAGCCCCTATTGAAGTCCCATTGAGGGCCTGATCCCAGTGAAGTCAACAAAGACTTCTGCTGATTTTCAGGAGGAGCTGGCTCAAGCCTTCAATGCATAAACATTTCTGAGTATTTGGATTCTTGTACACGCTCTCTGAGCTTTAAGGGAAATAGAGTTGTTTAGAGCCTGCAGTTTACAAGTACAGAAAGCATATTCTTACATTTTCTTCTTTGGCATCAGGGTTATGATATCTAATCCCTCTTCACCCGAGGTGGGTCATGGAACTAATATATAAATCAGGTTTTAAGCCTTTCATTTCAGCAGCCCTTTTACATGGCACCTTGACTCTGTTTATGCTTTTTATCTGAGCTTAATCACTGCTTATTTAATCTTGTTCTGTGTATTTAGTAGTTTTGGACCTTATTCTGTAGTGCAGAGGATGCTCAGAAAGTTTTAAAGATTTTTTTAAACAAATTATTCTATAATACCATGTTTTACAGCCCAGTGGGTGTTGATGACTCTTTACAGAGCAAATAAAAAAGCCTTGAAAAGCTTGCAGTGTAAGAGCCTGATTGCATAATCACGTACTATTAAGCATATTACTCATCTCTCCATGAGAGCAGCTCTGCTTTGAGTCTCACCAGAAGCCAGTGTATTATTTATGTCTAGACACTATTGTGTGGGTCTGAACTGATCTGCAAATTCCTCAGAATGGGGACTGTATATTAATATACATTTGTACAGTGTCAAGTGTACTGCTGATGCTAAATAAAATATAAGTCGGGGGGCTCCAGCCATTTTTCAACTCTGGTAATTTACACTCTGCTCCTAGAGGCCTTGATTCAAGAAATTTCTTAAGTATGTGCTTAAGTCCCACTAACTTCAACAGGAGTTGAGCATGTGCTTGACTTTAAATTCATGCTTAACTGTTTTCTGGAATAAGTAGTATTTCCTTAATCCGTTCCAGAGTGCTAGCCCTGTAGTAAAAGTGCTAAGCACCTCTTGAAATGTGCTGTCTGCCTCAGATACCTTTGATGTCAGTGGAACTGAGGCGGTGGAGGGGTGAGCACCTTGCAGTATTAGAACAGCTGCATTAAAAATATTGCAATAGGAATGTCCAGAATAAGATTTATGACATTAACAAAACTTGACATTAATTTTTCAGATGGAAATACCAAACAAGATGAAATAAGCACCTAGCAGATTTAAATGATCAGGCATCAATTTTAATACTTGCCTTTATGATACCAAATAACATTTTTTGAGAACTCAGTGTAGAAAGATCAGTTAACTTTTACAGGCTTATTCTCCAAGTACTTATTAGAACTCCAATTATGGTTGTGATTTTTTTATTTATTTGGATTAGAAGACCTTATTATTTATATTTACATAATTTATATAAACATGGACATAAATATTGTTAAAGTAAATACTTTAAAAAAAATCAAAGTAAATAATAGAAAGGACAAATGTAGCACATATCAAAAATAAAAACAATTGTTGTAAATATAATGGCCTTCAATGTTTGCTTTTATGTGACAGATGTTTTTAAACAAAATTTCTGAGTTGGCAGTTTGAGTACACTTATGATTTTCATTTATGTAATATTTGCTTTTAGTATTGATGTCTATTTACAACATCTGTGAGCGGTCTGTAACCTGAATTTGACAGGGGAAAGCTAACATACTGCTATTGGAATCTTCCCATGGATTCCATGTAACAGACTGTTACCAAAACTCTTAAATAACTATTCTAATCATCAACAGGGTTCTTACGCAAATTATATCAGACCCAAAGGGACCGATTTACTTTAAAACGCCTTACAGACATGAAACATAAATTTAGCTTTCCCCGCCTTTAGAATAGGAATCGGATCATAGAGTGTATGCCCATTACATGCACACACACAAATCAGTATGCAAGTCAGTCTTATATCAAGTAGGCAGGATTCCATTTTCATAACTGAGAAACCAAACTTGTGAGTACAAAATAAATTTAGCCCCTTTTTTCCCCATGAAATGTAAACAAAGATTTACAACTAGAATTTGGAGCTACACAACTCTTTAATCAGCTGGAGGGCAGACACATTCATAGCAAAAGGAAGTATTAATATATCAACTGGCATTGATATTAAAATTATATAGGTAGAGTCAGGATTTCTGCTGGAGTAGAGCTAAGTCCCACTGATCAAGAAGCATTGTATGAACATAGCTTACAATTATCGAAGCATGAATGAGTGAACATGAGCTCTCCTTTGCTATTCATTAGTTAATGTTTATATTGATCTTTGAATTGCTAAGTATCTATCTCCCAGAGGCCCTATCCAGAGAAGAGAGTCCTTGGCTATTTGCTTGCACTGTTCAGGGGTCATCATTTACCCTACCATATGCCACTTAGCCCTCCTTCTCCCCCCCTTGCCCCCACACATACTTTGTTTGATCCCATCTATACTATTAAAAACTAACAGTTGTTAGTCCTACTTAGGACTGCCTCCCTTGTACTTCCTGCTCCTTGACTCTGACCTTGTGGTATCCTGACCCAGCCTACCAACTGAATCTTGCTCTGCCCTCTGGCCTGAACTGGACTCTGGTTTCTTGGTAACCTGCCCCTGCCTGCCGCGTCACACCTGATTCTCAGTCTGCCCTCTGGCACTATAACAAATGATAATCCCCTGGTATCTTGCACAGCCCGACTCTTGCTCTGACCACAAGTCAGACCGCCCACATCCTTGTTGTGACAAAAAGTGAGTTCCCACTAAACCAATTTTTTTGGTCAGGGATCAATCTCTTTGGCTAGAGTGAATACATTTCACACAAGTGGGTACTTAACAGTCAGCTACCTTCTATTGTTCTTTAGCCACCAGCCTTTGGAATTTTCAACCCAACATAGAAGCAAACAGACCATAGAGAAGGCAAAAGGCTGCACATTCATAATGGAGTGTGCAACTGGACAGAGACATGTAGCGTTCATCATCTGACAGAGCATTCATAAATTGTACAGGCATGTTCCCAATTCATCACAGCTGGGAGAAGCCCAAACAACACCTAGTTTCTAAATGAAGTGATCTTGGTAATTCAATAAAGAACACTTTTCCTTCTGAGCTAGGACTGATCCAATGCTCCAGTGTGATGTTAGAGGATCCACAGCCACTACAGATGCTGTCCTGTGATAAGATATAAAGCCAAGCTGTGATAGGATGCTCAGAGGACTGGGTGGCCTAGCAGTTAGTGCACCTAACCTCTGGCCCCTTGCCCCTCTGTCAAGGTGGTAGAGGTGCCTGGTTCTTGTCCATCAATCAGCCATAAATCTTCTGGCCTCCACTTGCCTCTGGGTCTCACCCTTAAGGGGATGTGGTCGTGGGACCTGGGCCCTCCCTCTCCACCAGGGCCTGTGTGAGCAGCACCAGCAGGGTCTTCCCTGCATACAGTCTAAGGGCTAGTGTACACTAGAAGCACTACGTCAGCGCAGCTGCACTGATTCAGCTGCGGCATTGTAGTGAGTCTGGTAAAGGCACTCTATGCTGACGGGAGAGAGCTCTCCCATGGGCATAATTACTCCACCTCCACGAGAGGCGGTAGCTATGTCAGTGGGAGATGCTTGCCTGCCGTGGTAGCACTGTCCACACGGGTGCTTAGGTCGGTGTAACTTGTGTCAGTCAGGGGGATGACTTTTTCATACCCCTGAGCAACATAAGTTATATTGACATAAGCAGTAGTGTCTGTCTGCTGCCCTGGGCTACTTCCTACCTATAAGTCCCTTCAGGTTGGGATGTTGCCCCTATAGTCCAAACAATCAATCACTTAACAAAAGGAGTCCAAATGAGCAGGGCTCTGCAGGACCTCCTGGTTCTTAAAGTGGTTGGTGGTTTGAGAAGGCATTGCCTGTGGGCCTTACCCTCTTTATGGTCCCATCTTAGGCTCAACCTTCAATCTGGCTTCCTGGAGGATTAGTCTCTCCTATAGCCTGCCCATGACCAATAGTCTGGGCTTCTGAGCTCCTTTTTACCCACTCCTCCAGTAGTCATATGCTCAGAAGGCCTGGAGGGGTGGTGCTACCTGGGCCCAGTATTGCCTTTTAACCCCTTTGGGCTCAGTGTGCAGTTTGTATATCACATTACAATCTATGGGACTTTTCACCAGAATAAGTATTCTGGCCAAACTGGTGCATAGAGAATATGAAATGAGTATATTAAGAATACACAGACAGATTAAGTATGGTATAGAGGATAAATATCCCATTTTTGTAGATTTCATGTTTATAATCCTAGGACTGGAAGGGACCTCGAGAGGTCATCTAGTCCAGTCCCCTAAACTCATGGCAGGACTAAGTATTATCTAGACCGGGGTGAGCAAACTTTCTGGGCTGAGGGCCACATCTGGGTGTAGAAATTGTATGCAGGGCTGGGGCAGGGGGTTGGGGTGTGGGATGGAGTACGGGATGTGGGATGGGGTGCGGTGTGCAGAAACAGGCTCAAGGCAAGGAATGGGGCAGAAGAGGGGTGCGGGATGTATGAGGGGGCTCAGGGAAGGGGGTTGAGTGCAGGAGGGGTGCGGGGTGTGGCAGGGGCTCAGGGCAGGGGGTTGGGGTGCATGGGGGTGCGAGGTGCAGGCAGGGGGCTTAGGGCAGGGAGTTGGGGGGTGGAGTGCAAGGAGGGGTTCGGGCTCCGGCCCGGTGCTGCTTGCCTAAAGCGGCTCAGGGGTGGCAGCAGCGCACACCGGGGCCAGAGCAGGCTCCCTGCCTGCCTGCTCTGGCCCCATACAGTGCTGCTCCAGGAAACGGCTGGCACCACGTCCCTGCTTGGCCCCTGGGGAAGAGGGGGGCACAGGGGTCCGCGCGCTGCCCTTGCCCTTGCCACTCCTCCAGATATAGAATCATAGACTATCAGGGTTGGAAGGGACCTCAGGAGGTCATCTAGTCCAACCCCCTGCTCAAAGCAGGGCCAATCCCCAACTAAATCATCCCAGCCAGGGCTTTCTCAAGCCTGATCTTAAAAACT